TGCCGCACACTGCCCGGCTTGAGCCACTGCAGACCCACGGCCAGGGATGCAGGAGCCGAAGGATCTCTGATCGCCCCGGCGTGCCCCAAATCCCACGAGCACCCCTGGCCTGGACACGGGCTCAAGCGTTTAAAAAACTCAGCCCAGTGCCTGAGAGGTGCGTGGACCCGGGTGTCAGAAATCAGTCCCCCAGCGCCCGACCAGGCTGTTCTGCCCCAGGGGAGCGGCTGAGTCACCCGAGGCGGCCGCGCTAACTGCTGCGGAGGAGACTGAACTCAACCCAGACAACCACAGCTCGGTCATGCCCAGCTCTGCCTCATGAAACAAACATTGCCTAATCTTGGAGCAAATATTCACAGCAGGCTAGGCAGGGATGGTCTTATCAGAGACAACTTCTCCAGGGCGCAGCTCCAATCCACCCAGGTTGGCTGGATTATTCATTACTGCCTGCTGTACCTACAGCCCAGGCAGGATTGACGGCACTAACCACTGTCCAGGCTCCTGAGAAACATGGGCCAAGTTCCACAAGGAGCCAGAGCTTACGTTGCTACGTCTCAACAGCTGCTTGGCAGCCCTCTGCATAACATGGGTGTGCAGGAGGGGGTCCACGTCACTGAGCATTAGTACTTACTGACATCCACACGGCACAGTAGCAAGGGCTGGCTGGGTCCTGAGGAGCTCACTACTCTCTTCCCCCTGTAAGGGGGTTTCAAGAAACCCAAGTGCTGTGTAGGGATGGGGGACAAGCCTTTCTTAGCGGTATTTGGGTAGCACTCATCACAGCAGCATATGAGCACCTCAGCGCAACAGTGATGGGGAAACCAAGGTACAAAAAGGGACAGGGACTTGCCCAAGGTCACAGAAGGAGTCAGTAGCTGAACCATCTCCTAAGCCCCAGTCCAGAGCCTTGACCACTTGCCCACCCTTCTTGCTGTTGGGATGGAGGACTTTCGCCTACAGGGCTGGTGAGACCATCAACATTTTTCTCCAGCAAAACATTCAATCATTCTAAAGTAGTGGAGGACAAACTTTTTTAGCAGGGGTGCCACAAATTTAGCCCCTCACCCTTCTCAAGTACCACCCTGGTCCCCTTCCTCTTCCCAATCTGCTGCTCTGTTTTGTGCTCCTTGCCCAATTTGCTGCTCTGCTTTCTGCCCCCTGCTCAATCTGCTGCTCTGCTTTCTGCCCCCTGCCCAATCTTCTGCATTGCTTTCTGCTTCCTCCCTGATCTGCTGCAGGCCACACACAGGCTGCCCATGCCACTTGTGGCCCACATGCAGCAAGTGGGCCATCCCTGTTCTAAAAAGTCTCCTTAAGCCCCTCTACTTTCCCATTCTCAAGTGAGGAGGCACAACTGCCTTTGTAACCCTTTTAGGAGACAATGCAGTAAGGGGAATAGCATGGGACACTCAGGGGGATCTGGCCCTGCACAGGGCACAGCCATTGAGAATTCAGACATAGCCCCTCACCCTTCTCAAGTACCACCCTGGTCCCCTTCCTCTTCCCAATCTGCTGCTCTGTTTTGTGCTCCTTGCCCAATTTGCTGCTCTGCTTTCTGCCCCCTGCTCAATCTGCTGCTCTGCTTTCTGCCCCCTGCCCAATCTTCTGCATTGCTTTCTGCTTCCTCCCTGATCTGCTGCAGGCCACACACAGGCTGCCCATGCCACTTGTGGCCCACATGCAGCAAGTGGGCCATCCCTGTTCTAAAAAGTCTCCTTAAGCCCCTCTACTTTCCCATTCTCAAGTGAGGAGGCACAACTGCCTTTGTAACCCTTTTAGGAGACAATGCAGTAAGGGGAATAGCATGGGACACTCAGGGGGATCTGGCCCTGCACAGGGCACAGCCATTGAGAATTCAGACAGAGGAACGCAAGGAGTGTTGGGCCACATCACTGGCCCATACCTGGTGTCCTGCCATGCTGGGTCAGGTCCATAGTCCATTTACACCAGTATCTAGCTGCTCGGCCCAAACATGAGGTTCAGCCCCCCCACCCAGTTTTGGTCCAAGCTGTTAGGATGAAACACTACCAGACAGTGACCAGATTCTCTGGAATTCAGCCTTGCAGGAACCCACCGCCCACATTGTTAATATATGAGGAGCTGTCTTGTATTCTCTCAGGAGACCCGACAGGTGAGGGAAAGGAGACACAGGCAATCTCCATATGGCAGGAAGGTGCCAGGCGGCTGTGTTGGCAAGTGTGTCCCTTGTAGACTCCAACTCCTGCTCTTGCTTCAGAAACCAGGCCCCTCACTCAAACCGCAAGCACACTAGCAGCATCAACAGCTGCAAAAACTTTCAAGCTGCTCCCCATCAGGCAGGCCAAGGTCACAGAAGGGAGTATGTAGCTCAACAGATGTGGCAATATCCAGCTTTCAAACAGCAACTTCGTTCTTTCCTCTGGTACAGGTTGCAGGCCAAGGACCCAGTGCAGGGAAGCCCCTGGGCCCGAGGGAAAAGTCTCACAGAGACTTACTGCTACTGTGAGCCTAAGGGGTCTTGTTCTCTTCCCCCAGACCTCTCCTGAGCCCTTCAGGGCTTGAGGCAAAGAAGGGGTGTTTGTGGGGGATGGGGATGGAGTTTTAAGGGAAAACACCGGCCCTCTGGCTGGATCACTGAAAAGACATAGCACTTCGCACTGGTTTGATTTAAAATTCCCCGAGTATTACCCAAGATGGGTCAGAGCCACTGCAACCCCCTCACACACAGAAACCTTGAACACAAGGTAGGTGGGCTGAATGGAGCCTATACAGGGAAGGATCTGTCCAAGCTCCAAGGCTCCCTCCAGCCCCTGGACCGACGTTTACCCTCCATGGCTCCCAGATCCCTGCTTCCTCCATGCTCCTGGAAGGGCTGATAGCAGGTGTGTGGAGGGGAGGGGACTTGGGGTCTGTGATAGTGGCAGAAGTGACAGCTGGTTTGCATGGCTTAGGGGAGCTGAGGCCTGAAGGGGTGGGTGGGGCTGATGGCAACATGTAATGGTTGCACCAGCCAGTGAGTGGGATGATGGGAATCCCAGGCCCTTAGGCATCCACAGCAGGATGGTGGGTACTCACTACTTGCCCTGTTGCTAGGTGATAAAGCAGCTGCCCCAGTGCTGTGGCACTGAGTTAATTGGCAATATTCTCTCCCAGATGGGCCTCACTTGCTCCCCACTGCTGACCTGCCCCTGGGGAAGCATTAGGAGAGAAGTCCCAGGTGCTGAGAGCAGAGGCACAATTTAAAGATGAAATTGAAGTTGGCTCCCTTGCCAGGGCCAAAACAAGATTTACAATGCGCTGCTCTCATCACCAGCTTAACCCAATGCTGCTAATGACTGTGTGGAGGAGGGGCAGAACCTCCAAGCACCACCATCCTGAGCTGGTAACACACTCAGCAAGGAAAGGGGCTCAGAGAACTCTAGGAGCAGCCTTACCTAGGAGGGGGTGATGTAGGGAGCAGGGCAGGGACTCTGGCTGTGGGGAGACCTCCCAGCTACTCCAGTCCCAGCTTCTTCCAAAAAAAGATGCTGCAAGGGTCTGGGCACGAGGGCTGGATGGGGGGAAGCACCCAGTTGCCCCAGTCCTGTCTCTGTCCTGCTTCTGGTATAAGGAAACTCATTGCACTTTGCAGCCTTCAAGCACAAATCAGAACCCCCACCCACACTCCTACCACATTGGTGTCTTTCTCCACTGTCTGCTCATTGGCCTCAGATGAGTTGTCCTGGTATCGAGGACCGCTGCAGTCCAGGCGGATCAGGGCACGGCAACGATAATGGCACATGAACTTGCAATCTGGGTGGGAAGAGGAAGGAGAGGGCATGAGGCGGATGGGAGCCAGACAAAGGAGGAATCCAGCAGTCTGCAGGAAGGAGTGGCAGGCCCTGGGACATTGTATTTGCCAGAACTGCTAGGTACAGGCAGGGTGAGGCCTATTGCTCTTGAATGTTACCTTTGTAGCTAGGAACAAGCAGCATGAGCCTGGAGAGATGAGTTTGCATCCTGACTAGCCACTTGACCCCTCAGTAGTTACCATACCTCAAACTGTAGCCTGTTTTCTGCCCCTCCGCTGCCTTCTGGTGAAAGCCCTGCTGCATGTTTGCTCCAAAAGCTTTTTCAGTAACAGTGTTAGTCTCAGATCCATCTATCTCACGCTCAGAGAGGCCCCCGGTTTGGACAGAATCCCTACACTGCCAGGCCAGGTTCAGACTCTCAGGAGGGAGTGGAATAAACCAGCTAGGAAAGCACACATTCAACAGGATTTCTACTAGAGACATATTTACTGTCAACATGAGCAGAGGCCTCCCTCAGGTGCCTGTAGAAGGTGCCCTGCTGCATCTTGTCCACCATGACTGCTCTGGTACCCCTGCATTGTCTGGTGGGGCTGGGTTCCAGGGTCACTCTTAGACATGGATGGTCTGGCCCAGACCACACTGCACAGATACCCAAGCAGCAGGGCTTTGGGAAGCTAAGTGCTGTGGAACTTGGGCCCTTTGCCGTGCCTGCAGGGAGCAGGGGCATCAGGACAATGTTGGGACCCCTGGAGAAGCTGTCAGGGCTGGGCAGGGAAGCTCGGGACACCAACTCAATCAGGCACTCAGTGGAGGGATCCCCACAGGGTTTGGCTTGGGGACCAGGAGGACACAGCAGCCCCATGCTTGCTGTAGACATAGGTAGCAGAGCCAGGGGTAGTGCTGGGTAGGTTAGCACTGAGCAGAGCTGGGGCAGTGGGTTGGCATTGAGCCAAGATGAGGAGACTGCTAGTCCCCAGTTAGAACCAGTTCTCTATTTCCCTCCCTTTGCTCTGTGTTACTGGAGGCATTGGCATGGGAACAGTCTGTTCCTGTTGGCTACTCTCATCTGAAGTCTGTGCATGACATTGAAATCTCTACTGCTTGTGACATCACAGTTCTCTCCATGGCAACCAACTATGAAGTCACAAAGAGGATTCAGACATAAAAGAAACACCAAACATTCTAGAGATGTTTTGTTTTTCTTTTTTACCTCCCTCGCCTGAGCAATAAGGATGGAGGCATTTACAATTAAAGAACAAAACTGGAAGCAGAACCACTCTTCATTTCAGTTTAGGCTGTTTCTTGGCCTAAAAAGTCACCATTTTTCCAAACTATTTTGTGTAAGAAGAAATTTTAAAATGTCTTTGCCGATTTTGAAATTAAAGAAAAAATGTTTAAATAAGTGTTCAAAAACGTGGCCTGAAAAATGAAGGCCCTGATGTTTGCACCTTACCCCCACCACACACACACATACACGTAAGTCAGGAAGTGGGAAAACTGCAGCAGTTTAACACTGAATGAAACTAAGTGCACCTCTGCTTGGCTATGTTTGACTGTGGTCAGAAATAGCTCACAAAGCCCCACAGCAAGATGGGGAGAAAGGAAAAAAAAAAAAGAACACGGAGTCTCTTGCCAGCACAAGTTTGCACTGTACTCACTGACTCCGAACTCTCAGATACCATCAGTCAGGCCCTTAGGAAGTCATGGGAATGGCTGAAAAATCGCAACGTCTTTACAGGATAACAGAATGTTTGGATGATTTATATTTTTTGCCTGGCCTGAGTCTTTAGGGAGCATTGGAGTCCTGGCTCTAAGTTTTTCTTTACTAGCTGGGGGAGTAAAAAGGCACTTTAAAAACATGGAAGCTGAGATCATTTTTAATCACTTGATTCCAAGAGCAGGGGCTCACAAAAATACCAAGTGTCAGCAGATTGGCCAACAGGGGGTTTGGCCTGGGACGTCACAATTCTTTCAATGGCAACCTCCCTATCAGCAAGCACACACTCCTGAAAGATGCATCAGAATAACCCCAATAAATATATCTAACAAGACAGTGAAGGAGCTTCTTGCCATCCGACTGGAAAAAGCCTTATTTCTACCTTGCCAAGATGCTGCAACACCAGGTTGGCTTCCATACAACACGTTCACCATCTATAAAGTCCTTTGCCTGCAGTCATGTGGCACTTTAAAAGGCAAACCTTATCATTATTTCCAATCCAGTCCTTCCAGTCACCAGTCCCAGAAGCATCAGGAAAGAGAAGCCACAGTATTAGTGGGAACCAGCTTTTGGAGAATGAAATTTTGTAAATGGTTAAGACCAGAAGATATTAGAGGTGCACCGATACATCAGTGGCCGATAATGTGGCCGATAAATGGCCCATGCATGTGCGAAACTGCAGCCTGCAACTTGGAGACCTGCATGCAGCTGGTAAGTCTGTTGTGGTGGATGGTGAGTGGGGAGGGAAAGGGCATAGGGCAGATCAAGGTTCCCGCGGTGAGGGAGGGGGTAGGGCTGGGGCAGGTGCAGGTGCTGCCCAGGTGGGGCGGGGCAGGTGTGGGATGGAGCCACGGCTCGTTCAGGGGCAGCTCCTGCAGCTGCGCGCACCCCCGGAGGGGTGCTCCATCCTGTGCCCGCCCTGCCCCAGCTGGGCAGCACTTGTCCCAGCCCCTGCCTCTGCTCTACTCCCTCCCTCACTTCAGGGGCCTTGATCTGCACCCCTACGCTCCTTCCCTCCCCCTCCCCTTCCACCACAACAGACTTACCAGCTGCATGCAGCTCTCCATGCTGCATCAGAAATTGAATTGGTATCAGCTGATATGCCTCCTTAAAAATTGGCTGTCGGTATCAGCCCCAAAAATCTCTATCGGTGCACCCCTAGAAAAAATGGTTGTGTTTAGGTAGTCTGACTCCTGCATGGCTGCTATCTTAAAGTTAGCAACCCTGCTCAGTCCATCACCTGAACCTTTCAGTGCTGCCCCCAACATTAACCTCACCTATCTAAAAATATCCTTCTTCTTCCTACTGCAGTGGTGCGGTGGTGATCCCATATGATCACAGATGATTACTCCCACTGGTCAAGTGAAAGGTTGTAAATGAGTCCCTTGATGGTTAAGAAGGCCAATCCTAGAGCCCCAGATCTCTGGCAAATGGTGGTCCAAGGGAGGATTTCTTGGTCTTGTTCCCTTTCCTTCTATTTCTGTTGTTTTGCTGCCTCCAAGGTAAGACAGTTTTCCTCAAAATAAAGTGTACCTTCTCTCATAGGCATTGCCATGCAGCCCTGTCCTGGGCTAGTGTTTCCCAGTTTGTGATGTCAACGATGCACTTGTTAATGTTTGCCTTGAGTATGTCCATCTTCCCAAGGAAATCCTTCTCAAGTCTCAATCAAGCTTCAGACCATTGAGAAGCACCACGGACGTGATTTTTGCGGCCCAGCAGATCCAGGAAAAATGCAGAGAACAACAGGAACTGTATAGGGCCTTTGTTGACTTAACCAAAGCCTTCAACTGTTAACCGTGAGGCTCTGTGGAAGTTTTTATCGAAGTCTGGCTGCCCAGGGAAATTTATCACCATCCTAAGACTCCTTCATGACCAGATGACTGCTTCCATCCTATGCGATGGCTCTGCTACAGAGCCCTTTGCCATTCAAACTGGCATCAAGCAGGGCTGCATGATCACACCAATTTTATTTTCCATCTTTCTTGCAGTCATCAAAATGCGCATTTGTGGCTGCCTGCCACAAGGCATCGGCATCAAGTACAGGATGTATGGGAACTTTTTCAATCTTTCCCGCCTCTGTGCCAAAACCAAAGTTACTTTGGCTTCGATTGTGGAACTTCAATACACTGATGACTGTGTTGTCATTGTACATATGGAGGAGGACCTACAAATGGCCCTTAACTGCTTCTCTCAAACATGCCAGCGTCTGGGGCTGACCTTTAACATCAGAAAAACAAAGGTGCTTCACCAGTCTGCTCCAGACCAATCAACTCCCGCAACAAAGATCCTCATTGACAGACAGGAGCTGGAGAACACTGAACACTTTGCATACCTTGACTGTAGGAATTTAGTCAATGACACACTGCAGGAGAAGAGTATTGGAGAGATGGGAGTCCAGGAAGGGTGGTCGTTCGTGAAAGAAGCAATCCTTGGGGCACAAAGGGAGAAGATCCCAGTGCAAGGGAAAGGGGGAGAAAGGGCCAAAAAACTTCCATAGCTAAACAGAGAAATCCAGGGGAGCCTAAGGGAAAAAAAAGAAGCAGCATACAGGCAGTGGAAGCAGAGAGAAGCTACCAAGGAGGAGTATACCTACTTGGCCTGCACTTGCAGGGAGGCAGTTAGAAAGGCCAAAGCAACTACGGAGCTAAGACTAGCAACACACGTGAAAGACAACAAAAAGTCTTTTTTTAAATATGTAGGGCATAAAAAGAAGGTACAGGGCAGCATAGGACCTCTACTGAATAAGCAGGAACATTAGTGACAGACAGGGGGGACAAGGCTGAGCTCTTCAATGAGTTTTTTGCCTTGGTGTTCTTGAACAAGGGTCAAGATAAGTCTCCTAATGGGTTCTTAGTTGGGCATCAGAGGGACACCAGCCCATCAACTGTCGATGCTGACTTGGTGCAGAGTCACTTGGATGGACTGGATGTGTTTAAGCCAGCATGCCTGGATGAGCTTCATCTGAGGGTACTGAAGGAATTGGCTGGTGTTATAGCAGAACCACTGGCACGGCTGTTCGAGCACTCATGACGCTCGGGGCAGGTCCCGGAGGACTGGAAAAGGGCCAATATGGTCCCTATTTTCAAGAAGGGGAGGAAGGAGGATCCAAGTAATTATAGGCCAGTCAGTCTCACCTCCATCCTTGGAACAGTCTTTGAAAAGATTATTAAAAATCATATTTGTGTGAATCCAGTGGGAAAAATAATGCTGCAGGGCAGCCAGCATAGATTCGTAGAAGGCAGATCATGGCTGACTAATCTGGTTTCGTTTTATGACCAGGCCACAAAACGCTTAGACACAGGAGAAGAGGTGGATGTCGTTTTCTTGGATTTTAGCAAGGTCTTCGATATAGTATCTCATCCCATTCTCATAAATAAATTAAGAGGCTGTGACATAGATGTTTACACGATCCAGTGGGTGGCAAATTGGCTTAGCAGTCGCACCCAGAGAGTGGTAATAGATGGGTCGGTATCGACCTAGAAGGATGTGGGTAGTGGGGTCCCACAGGGTTCAGTCCTTGGACCTGTATTCTTCAATGTCTTCATCAGTGACTTGGATGTGGGT